GGAAAAAGGTGGAAAAGAAACTGGAATCACTGGTACAGGTTTTTGATCTTTCTGTTGGTTCATCGTTTTTTTTTTTTTTTTATTATTACATAACGGTTGAGCACCATTACGATCATTATCTAATTAATTGAGTGTGCTACTTGAGAACACCCTAAGAAAAGCGATCTCCGTTAATACTTCTATTAAATTACTCTTTTTTAAATAGTTTGGATCGGAATGAATTTTAATTTGTTGAAGGAAAAGGGGACTAAGTCACATTTAATATACTTAACCGATCACAAATCGATTTTACATATTAATATCCAGATTTATCTATTATTCCCGGATTATATAATATTATCTAGATAAATTTGTATCCATAAAAAGTATACAAACGCGGATCATTAAATTCTGTAGAATTGAATACTAATCATCATTCGTTCGATCTCGAGTATAATTACGTATGGATTATTAATCTTATTCCTTTTGATAAAAAAGTTTTCCAAGTTAGGTTAGAACGGATTGGTTCGGATAACTCGAAACTGGCTTGGTTATAATAAAATTATTATATCTTTGGGGATCAATTTTATCCGATTAATAAGAGTTAATAAGACGACTAGTGTAGAATTTTTTTAATGGATAAAAACAGTATATAAAGACAAATTTTGCGACAAGGTTTTGAAACAAAGCAAATACACCACTGAAAACAATACCCGATTCAATCATTTAGTTAATACATTCATACATTCATTTAACTGATATAATACATTTATAACCATGAATTTATTATATTCACTTCTAAGTAACCTTAAACTAACTGATATTCTTCAAGTCACTTTTGTGACATTTTGTCTTTACATATTTCGGTTTTATTACAACCATTTTACACGTGTAAATCCTCTTCCTGGTCCATTACCAATTCCATTGATAGGAACTTTTGAAATTTTTAGAGTTCATGTAGATATTGATGCATGGTTTCTTAAATTAACTGAAAAATATGGACAAAGTGGTGTATTTGAATTAAATCTTATTGGAAATAGACAAATAGTCATCACTCGTGCTGATTATGTTAGTAAACTTATGGCTCCATCATCTGAGCAAGATCATTATAAACATCATATGAGAACAGCAAATAATGGTCTCTTAGATATGTTTGATCTTGATCGTAAAGGTGTTGGATTAAATCATGATTACAATTTCTGGAAATTTAATCGACAAATTTTTACTTCAGCTATTAAAACTGCTTGTTATAGTGAAGCAACTGTTAAAACAATCAATAATTTATATGATGAAATGATAGGTTATTGGCTTAATTTGAAAAAACCTGGAGATGATTCCGTAGTCGTTGACGCCGCTTCTTGGATGCGTAGATTTACAAATGATTTTATTTCCGTAGTTACAACTAGTGAAAGAACACTCGCGATTAAAAATTATTATCACATATTAAATAATGAAAAAAAGACTCAAGAGATGGAGGATTCAGAAGAATTTGTTGAATGTATAAGTACTTTCTTTGATGATAATCAGATGATTTTTATACCAAAACTTTTAAAACAATTTCCTTTGATCCGAGGTCGTGTTGGTAAAATGAAGCATACCATGGACTATATATATCATAGATTAGTTGCAAGAATTAGAAAAAGAAGAAAAGAAGTTGAAAAACTTGCTAATAGCAGCAACTTTGACATAAGTCAATTAAAGAATGATTTGCTAACTTCAATGGTTGTTGCTAACACTCAATATGAAACTTCACCTCAAAAGAATGTTGATCCTTCATTATTAAGACCAATGACTGATGATGAAATACGTGGTGTTATGTTTGATGCATTTGCGGCTGGTACAGACACTGTAAGTAATTTGTCCTAACAATCAATTCTTTTAAATTAATTTTACTAATAGTATTAATAATATTTATTTATTATTTTACAGACCGCAAATACAGTTTGTTTTGTATTATATTACCTTTCACATAATCCAGAAATTAAAGAGAAATTATTGCAAGAACTCAGAACAGTTTTCAAAGACGATATGAATAGACATGTAACCATGGAAGACCTAAATAAATTAAGATATACTGAAGCAATTATTAAAGAAACGTCAAGAATAAGACCCACTGTTAGCATGGTTTCAAGATTTAGTAACCAAGCTGATGAAATAGCTGGATATAAATGGCCTACAGATATTTTATTCATTATGTATGTTCGTGGAATTAATAATAATTCTCTTTTCTGGCATGAACCTGAAAAATTCAACCCAGATAGATTTTATGATCCTAAAGAAATTGAAAAACAACATAAATTTGCTTTTTCAATGTTTGGTGGAGGTTTAAGGATGTGTTTAGGTAGAAATCTTGCAATGATTGAAATGAAAATATTAATAGCTTCACTTTTTAGAAAATATGATGTTGAACTTTTTGATATGAAAGCTCCTCTTAAAGTCTGTACTTCAACTGTTACTATTTGTAAAAATTTAGATGTCAGAATTATTCCTAGGACTGATGTGTGTTAAAAATTACATGATAACGATATTTCATCTAACTGCGGTGCAGTTCCAAATATTTTAGCATAGTGGTGGTCATTTCATTTTCATTGGTTATTTTAGAAATAGGCAAAATAGTTTAGCATAGTAATCATTTCATTTATTATTTTAGAAATAGGGAAAAACTATTTTTTTTTGTTCAAAATATTCAATAAAGTATCTTGAATTTTGAAAAAAAAAATTTTTATTTCTCAATAGCAACAAAACTACTTCTATAGGGTCGTCTAAAGCCATATGGTTTTTTTGATTACTAAAAATTTGTAAATTAAATCATGTGATGCATATAAATTACTATTTATATCGATATACCCAGTGAAGAATATTTAATGTTCTCAATGTTCTCAAGAACATTCAAAAAAATTTAAGAACACTGCATTTAGAAATTATGTTCTCTTTTGAGAACAAACTAAGAACATAAAATTTATAAGTTATATTCTCATAAGATATATATAAAATTAATAATAATAATTTTTTTATTATTATTTATTATTAAAAACAAAAATTCTTTTAGAATATAATATAAATTGTTCTCAAAAAGCTAAAATTCTTTGCTAGATACTCCACGAATAATAAATTTATTATAATTTTTTTTAAAAAATTATTATAGTGCATATTAAATTTTTTTTTGAGAACATAAAATTATAAATTTATGTTCTCGAAGAACAAAAAATTTTTTTAAAAAATTCTTCACTGGATATATCTGATCCCCATTTGATACATTTTCCTAATATAACTATAAGTTAAGTAACAAAACCATTGAATATCCATCACATATATTTGAAACTACCCCAAGAACACCTCCAAATTTTCTGCGATAATGTATAACACACAAATTCAAAAACATTATTGAATATAGTAGATAAAGGCTTAGGGCGTTCTCGATCTGATTAGCAGGCATAATTATGTTTACATAAAGTTTTTGTTGACAATTCGAATAAGCAAATGACGACGAAATTAACTAGTGATCGTAATGGCGCGGTTTTCGAAATAGTGTATACCCGTATACTGTGTATACTCATATACCGGATTACCTTAGCACTTCGATAGAAGATCGATACTTGATTTACATACGTACAGTACGTACTTATTATTTACCAAAACAATTACACGCCTAAGTGCGGTATACACAGAAAACCGTGATAATATAATCAATCAAAATAAAAATTGCAATTGATACTTGAGCAATTCTTATTATTCTTATATTTCTGTATTTATCAAATGTCATCGTCAAAAATTAATAAAACAAAAAATAAAGGAAAAAAGAAAGTCATCAAAGAGTAGCGGATACTGATAAGCTAGTGAAGCAATGACTTCGGCTGTTCCTATTGTTCCATTTACCCGATTTTACCATTTTTGGCCCCTCCATTTTTTATGAATCCGTTTGCTTTAAATAAAGCCACTGCCGAATATAAAGTATAAGTGACTTGTCGAGACGAAGAAATTTATGTGAATTACGGCCTGTCAGAAGACAGTCATAATTTTGGAAGTGGCCTGTCGGGATAAGTAAAGGCCAAGAGATGGCGGGCTTCTTCATGTTTTCTATTTTCCATGAAAACTTTTAAAATAAGTAATTCGTTGACGTCGAGAATGAGGATCCAAAGTTATTTGAGCGATCAGGGATAAAAAAAGATGGTCTTTTTTAAAATGGTTGTAAATTTAAATATCCATTATAATGATAAACACAATTGACTGCTTGAGAACGCCCTCAATAAACCAAAGTATATATTTAGGATGTTCTCAAATATCAACCTAGATACGATTTCATAGTGATCGAAATAGTGCACAAGCTATTGGCATAATATTTTCAATAATAAATGACGATATGCTCAAACTCATAGGCAGACATTCGCAGTTTAAATCAATTTCATTTTACATTATTTATACAGTTTAAAGTACTTTTTAAAAAAAAGAAAATTACGAAGAATAAACGAAAAAGAAGTATATAGAAGGTTTTATTAGCGTTGTAGGACTCCACTATTAAAAATAATCAAAATTCTTTTTTGTTTTAGAGAAGTTAGCACGGTGATAACCTAATTT